TACCATTCCTGTTCCATCAGTTCCTTCAGTCACATGTTCACATCTGCTCCTCAAGACTGATCTGTATGTTGATCTAAAAACCTGCTGCTACCTCCACAGAGACTCCACTCCTCTTCTCTCTGTGAAAGACAATCTTCTTTATCCACTAACATGTCACAGTCACAGCGTCAACATCTCTGTCTGCATTGGTCGCCAACCTCAAAGAGGCCGGGGCATTCAAACTAACATGAACCGATCTGTTCTAGTCCTAAAGTTTCATTCATCAAGTCAAATTAAAATTCTGAATATAAAAACTGCCTCTTATTTTAGGTCTATAACCATTATGTGTATTCATATCTTGTTAAGCTGTTATGAAAATATATTTTCTAACAAATATTTAAAATCCAATTAAAAACACTTTTAGATATTTCTGTGTTGATGAATTATTTGACGTTTTTGTGAATCTTTCAGGAAGCTGATCATGAATTTAATCTTGATTTTCTGCTATTGCAGTCCTATCAGCTCTTTGTATCTGCGCACTTTAAAGCTGGAGTGCAGGACTTTTACATATTAAAGAAACGTGTGCTGAAATCCAAACCTTGCTTAAATGAGTTCTCACAGAGCTGCATATAACCTCTCAGGCTCCAGGTCCATCTCTGTATTTCTGCAGTAATAGCTGCCTTTTAAATCTTTTGCTGTCTGTGGCTGACTTTCCTTACTGCCGCACCTGGTTACTGATGCATTTAGAGGTCAATAAGGGAAAGACTGATTTTTCAGGGATAGCTAGGAGCAGGCGAGGAAACAATAGAGAGTAACCCATCATTGTACAAGCGTCCAAGAAAAAGTCCTGATTCTCCAGATAAAAAGAAACTCTCAGAGGAAACAGAGGAAACTTGCGGTGCTTTTCCTGTTGCCACGAGAGCGCTGACAGAAGGAGGGGACTGATGTGAAAATACTTGAGATAGGCTATTTAACTACTGACCATTTAACTTCACCTGAATAATGACTCATCATCGTTGAGCTGGTTGATAGTGGTTGACCTGTGATTACTCTCACTGCCAGAGGGGGGAGACACTGAATGATAAAGTGTCACCTCCAACATGGAGACACTAGTGTTTCTCCTCTGTCCTTTCTGTTGATTGACAACAGGCGTCTACAGACTCGGTGAGAGCACACAGAGCCTGTTGACATGAAATCAGGCTCGTATGTTCATGCAGCCACCTTCACACTGACCTGCAGTTCATGAAAATTCAGTTAACATGAAGACGCTCTGCTCTTATAAATCTGATGCAAAGGACTGTGCGTGCTGCATTGTTTCGTGTCTCGGAGTTTTTGTTGTGCACCAAACACAGAGTTTATGAAATCTAGGCCTCCTGGTGTTCTCCCTGTTTCCTTCACGTGTCTAAAACTGAATCACTTCAGCCTCAGTTTACAGTAGAAACAGTCTCTTACTAGTGAGTCTGCAGGTCCAGGTTCATCACGAAGTTTATAGGAGATCTACGTTGGACAAGTCACTCTTCATAGCACAGACAGATGGATCCTGGGAGACTCTGCCTCTCCAGTCTGGGGTTACTGACCTCTTGCAAACAAAAACAGTTTTTATTCATATCACATCCGAGATCAACTGATTCAATTCCTTCTTGATGACAGGAGTCGATGCTAGGGAACTCTCAGCTGACGTCACATCCAGCAACCACACCACTGTTACTGAAGGACTGAAAAAGCAACACAGGCTCAAAGAAGCAGAAGGTCATACAAAGGCGAAGATTCGAGGGATCAGAAGGTGCGTCTGTGAGCACCCGACACCGGGCCCTCAGCGCATCTGTATCCACAACTCAGTCTCCACTGTGGTCAAACATTCTGGACTCTACCTGCATTAACCAGTCCCTCAACAAAAGACAGTGGACCAAACACACAAGGAGAGCAGAGTCACATTCTGCTCATGAACACTATCACTATGGTGTCTTGTGTGTAACTTAAAGAATTTCTGATGTTATTCTACATTCTGTCTTGACAACAAACCTCAGTGAAAAAGACCCAAATCAACAGAGTGTGTCTCTCAACACTTCCTGTCTGTGTCCTCTCAGCCGGAGCTCAATGCGTTCCTACTTGAAGACGGTAAAGACCTTAAAACACCTCACACATATATACTGGTTATTTTTTAAAGCAGTCTCTTACTGTGAGTCTGGAGGGTCCAGGTTCATCAGAAGAAGTCTGGAAGATGTCCTTATCGGATCCGTCACTCTTCATAGACAGACAGATGGATCCTGGAGACTTTGCTCCGTCCTCCTCTTCCTCCACACCATCACTCATCTTCAGGACTTCAGTCAGTCTGAGAGGGAAACCAGTAACACTGACTGTGAGCTCAGACACACAAGAGTCAAGACAATCTGTTCAAGAGTCACATGCAACATAAAGAGAACAGGAAGTAAAACACACACTAACAGAATATACAGTATAATAAACTCCACCTGCTCAGTCTTCATGTGTATTATTCAGCTCATCACAACATTGAGTCAGACTGTTGATTCTGACGCAGAGAACAGGAAGTACCACAGCTCATGTTGTTCCCTCCTTTTCTCTCAGTGTCTCTGTGTGGACACAAGTTCACTCTGACTCTTCTTCCCTCCACAGTCCACAGGGAGAAACTGACTCTGAGACTTTCACAGTAAAATAATAATAATGTTGTATTTACACTCACCCGCCTCAGGCATCAGTTTCCCTCCTTCTGCTGCGTCGACTCAAATTGGAGTCTGAACAAACACTAAACACTTTCA